GTGCCCGCGCGCTCCCTCGTGCCCGCCCGCCCCCTCTCGCCCGCGCCTTCGCTCTCAGCATATTCCCAACGCCTCACTGTGAGTCTCCATTGCTGCTACTTCTGCCCGTTGCTTTATTCCTGTTCCCTCTCCTTGCAATGCTCCACCCTGTCCCTCGTAATTCAGAATGCATCGACCAAATCTCCTCCCGACCTCTTGTTCTCCCGGGAGAACAGTCCCAGCTTTTCTAGTTGCTGAAGTTCCTTGTCCCTAGAGCCATTCAGCTGAATCTTTTCTGCACCATCTCCAACACTCTCATAATGTGCCACTCTGTCTGTTGCTGTCGGTTTCGCACTTTCACTCTCTCACTGTCTCACTCGCGCTCTCTGTCAATCTCTCTCTCCCACACTCTTTCTCTGTCTCTGTCTCTCACTCTGTCTCTGTCTCTCACTCTGTGTATCTCTTGTGCACTCACACTGTCACTTCTCTCTCTCTCTCTGTTCTCTCTCTGTGTCTCCCTTACTTTCTCTTTCATTCTCCCTCTCTTTTAATTTATTCATGAGATGAGGGTATCGCTGGCTAGGCAGCATTTATTGCCCATCTCTAATTGCCCAGAAGGCAGTTGCGAGTCAACCACATTGCTGTGGGTCTGAAGTCATATGTAGGCCCAGACCAGGTAAGAATGGCAGTTTCCTTCCCTAAAGCACATGAGTGAACTGGATGGGTTTTTTCCTCACAATCGGTTTTACAGTCATCATTAGACTTGTAATTTCAGATTTTTATGGAATTCAAATGCCACCATCTGCTGTGGAGGGATTCGAACCCAGGTCCCCAGAATATTACCTGGGTCTCTGAATTAACGGTCTAGCGATAATACCACTAGGATGTCAACTGTCTGTTTCATTGTCTTTCTATTTCACTGTCTCTGTTTCACATTGATGTTTTGGTCCAGAAATAGAAGGAAGCATATGTCAGGTATAGACAGCAGGGATCAAGTGAATCCCTAGAAGAGTATAAAGGCAGTAGGAGTATACTTAAGGGGGAAATCAGGAGGGCTAACAGGGGACATGAGATAGCTTTGGCGAATAGGGTTAAGGAGAGTCCAGAGGGACTCAACAAATACATTAAAGACAAAAGGGTAACTAGGGAGGGAGCAGGGCCCCTTAAAGATCAGGAAGGCCACCAATGTGTGGAACTGTAGAAGATAGGGGAGACACTAAACCAGTATTTTGCATTAGTGTTTACTGTGGAGAAGGACATAGAAGATGTAGAACATGGGGAAATAAATAGCAACATCTTGAAAAATGTCCATGTAACAGAAGAGGTGCTGCTGGACATCTTAAAATGCATAAATGAGGATAAATCCCTGGTACCTGATCAGGTGTACCCTAGAACTCAGTGGGAAACTAGGGAAGTGATTGCTGGGCCCCTCGTTGAGATAATTGTATCATCGATAGCCACAGGTGAGGTGCTGGAAGGCTGGAGGTGGCTAATGTGGTGCCATTATTTAAGAAAGGTGGTAAGGAAAAGCCTGGGAACTATAGACCAGTGAGCCTGACATCAGTGGTGGGCAAGTTGTCGGAGGGAATCCTGTGGGACAGGGTTTACATGTATATGGAAAGGCAGGGACTGATTTAAGGATAGTCAACATGGCTTTGTGCATGGGAAATCATGTCTCACTAACTTCATTGAATTTTTTGAAGAAGTAACGAAGAGGATTGATGAGGGCAGAGCGGTCGGCGTGATCTATATGGACTTCAGAAAGGCGTTCGACAAGGTTCCACATGGTAGACTGGTTGGCGAGGTTAGATCACATGGAATACAGGGAGAACTAGCCATTTGGATACAGAACTGGCTCGAAGATAGGAGACAGAGGGTGGTGGTGGAGGGTTGCTTTTCAGACTGGACGCTGTGACCAGCGGTGTGCCCCAAGGTTCGATGCTGGATACACTGCTTTTTGTCATTTATATAAATGATTTGGATGTGAATGCAGGAGGTATGGTTAGTAAGTTTGCAGATGACACCAACATTGGAGATGTAGCGGACAGCAAAGGAGGTTAACTCGAGTACAATGGGACCTTGATCAGATGGGCCAATGGGCCGAGGAGTGGCAGAT